TGATCTAAAACCTTGCAGGCTCTGACTCTTCTAATAGCAGCCCAAAAGGCACGTGTAGGTTCCTGTCCTTAGTAAATAAGTTTAATTAGCATGATGTAATAAATTTTAGCAGAAAGTGCATTAGTCCAGTTTTTTTTTTTTCCAAGCATGTTGGCTGGCACCTTTTGCTGAAACAAAGGAACCAGCCACCTGCATCTCTAAGCACAAATTAAACACAAAGAGACAGTGTTCCAGAGGCTGCTCCTACCTGGCAGTCCCGGAGGGCAATGTTTGCCCAGGTTTCATGTCTCTGGTCTTCTCCTGATCAAAGGAATAGGAGCTAACACTCTGTGCTCCGGCCAGTCCTGAAGGTAGGTTTATGGAGAGAGGGCGTCATTCCCCTGAAGAACACTGAATTTCTGTCTTTAATAAAGGATGAGTGAGCCCTTCCTAACATATTTTTACAAGCAGTCAGGATCCTAAAATATGCCAGAGGCAAAGCGCTTAAAACGTGGTTTTGAGCATCTCCTTTAAAAATTAGAATTTTTCTTTCCATGTGGGGATTGTTGTTAAAAAATTCACGTTATTCCTGTATCATGACCTGGTGAAATAAAAAGAAATTTTTATTATGAAAAACTGGATTTCACATCGGTTCCTATGTCATAAAAAGGTCAATAACATCACCCCCAAATATGTGAAAAGGGACATTCATTAAGCCCTCTTTATATCCGATATTTTTCAATAAGCTTCTATTGTCAACAGTCATTGAACATATCAATATGAATCAATAATCTGTTATGGCCAGTAAAGTTTATTGACTTCACAATTACCTATTTTATCACTTCAGGAGGTTTAAAAACAATAAGATCATCTGTCTGCCTAAGAATTTCTGAAAATGTTTCCATAAAAAGTCTGATGTTGGCCGGGCGCGGTGGCTCACGCCTGTAATCCTAGCACTCTGGGAGGGCCGAGGGGGGCAGATTGTTTGAGCTCAGGAGTTCAAGACCAGCCTGAGCAAGAGCGAGACCCCGTCTCTACCAAAAATAGGAAGAAATTAATTGGGCAGCTAAAAACATATAGAAAAAAATTAGCTGGGCATGGTGGCGCATGCCTGTAGTCCCAGCTACTTGGGAGGCTGAGGCAGAAGCATTGCTTGAGTCCAGGGGTCTGAGGTTGCTGTGAGCTAGGCTGACACCATGGCACTCACTCTAGCCAGGGCAACAAAGTGAGACTCTGTCTCAAAAAAAAAAAAAAAAAAAAAGTCTGATGTAGTCGAAATTCAAAGACTCCAGAAATACGTTACATGTATGAAATTTACTTGAATTTCTGGATGTGTTAGTCACACTGGTAAAAAACTTTCCCCCTCTAAGAGTACATCAAGATTTCTTTTCTATATTGTATTTTCTAAAAAAATAAATTTTGAGAGAATACCGTGAGCCGGAAGGAAGCTGGGCTGGAAGAGAAGCTATGGTGTACAATTTGGAGTGAAAACAGACAAGGGCCCTACCCGGATGGAGTTTGCAATCTGCAGGTGCAGATCTCAAACCTGAGCCTTTATCAGAATCTCCTGGTGGGCTTGTTAAAATGAAGGTTGCTGGGCCCATCTCCAGAGTTTCTTACCCTGGGATAGGGGAAGTGTTTGCACGTCTAAGTTCCCAGGTGGGATGGGTGCTGCTGGTCTGGGGATCACACTTTGGGAACCATAGGTCTAAAGGCCTGAAGCAAGCTGCAGTACATGTTCTGAAGGAAAGAAACCCAGTTCTATGACAGAACAAGGACCTAGCCTGAACAGGGGAAGACTTCTCCTGAAAACGATGTTTGCACAGAGATCCGAGGAGGGAGCCAACGCCCCCGGAGTGGGTGGGAGAGCATTCCTGAGGCAGGAAGTCTGCCCCACCCATACCCTTATGGCCAGGGAGCTCGGAGTTCCAGCAAGTGAAAGGTTCCCAGGTGGCTGAGGTGAAGATACAGGGACAGCATCGCTTGCAAGGATGCTGATGAGGAAGGCAGGAGAGAGAGCAGGCAGGATCTTATCTGCGGTGGTAAGGATATGGGAGCTTCATCCCAAGAGCAATGGAAAGACATTTAAGGACGTTAAGCAAAGCAGCTGATAGGATTAGACACCTTCTGTATACCCTGAATACAGTGTGGAGAGTAGATGGAGGATGCCCAGAACAAAAACAAGGAGTTTGCTCCATATTTTTTGTCAGCCATAAAGAGAATCCGTGGTGAAAGTCACAGCAGCATTACTGAAGAGCAAAGCATGTCAGGGAAGCTCCCACCTCCGGTTCATGCTCACGTTGACGGCCTGAGAATCACTGGCCACCTGCTGTGTTTCAGACCTTCTAGTAACCATCCCGAAGGCCCAGGCGGATAAGGCCTATCAGTAAAGTCAATGAAAGGCATCGTTAAATAGAACAAATAGATCGTTTCCCCTTCCAAGGGTACGAGGGGCATCAGACTGCCACAGACGAGGGCCTCTTGAGCCGTCCTCAGCAGGCACAGAAGTCCCTAGAGGTTCATGCATGAAGGTTCGTTTCACAGCGAGCTTGCGTCTCCTCCAGTCGTGGCTGGTGTTGGGTGGCGCACCTGCGTTGACTTTTCAATGGGCTTCTAAAAAAATCTATAAGGCCTGTACCAGAAAAGCAAATGAAAGAGCAAGCCATGGATGAACAGGAAGCGAGACCCAAGTAGGAGCTAGGTACCAACCTGACTGGTCCCGTCTCGCGTCTCTGTACCCAGCCCCACAGCAAGTCCAATCAACTCCTTTTTCAAAATCCACCCACTTCTCACCGTCTAGTCCAAGCCGCCATTGTCTGTCGCCTGGACAACTGCAATAGCGCTATTTTGGATTAGGATGAAAATTTAAAAATTGGTACGGATCTGTGAACAGTGTCAGGACCTGAACCAGAGACCACGCTCCTGTGTGTCTTGGGCCAGAGGAAGAGATCATAGAGCAGGGGCTTCCCTCATGCTGTGTTTCCTGTGCCCCAACTGCATGCACTGCCCCTGGGCAGGCTGCTGTTTGTGAGAACAGAAAACAGGTCTGACGTGGCAGCAGTCACCAACTGCAACGATAGGCTGTGAATTTTAAAATTCTTTTTTTTCTAACCCCTTAGAAGCCAAACGAAAAGGGAGAGAGAGTAAGTAAGTGCCTCCTCTCATTTAGGGTTGGAAAACATGCCAGGGTGTTAAAATATCAAATGCTGACATTTACCTTCATAAAGGTGTCCTATTAAAAATGATCGGATATCAGATCTAGAGCACATTTCTGCTTTCTTCAGAAGCACTGGCATTGAAACAAAGAAATTGGCAATTCTTTGCCTCTCCCTTTTTATCTCCTTTCCATTCTTGTCAGCGTTAGTGACACTGTTCTGAGTCACTGAAGCCCCTCTGAAATGGAGAAATCTTTATACTTAAAACATTTTGGATGTTTTCTTTGTTTTGTTTCTAGCTATCATTGCAAGTTTCTTTTTAATGCTGTGAAATTATTCTTTAATCTTTCATCCTTTTGCTCTTATCCGAGTCCTAGGAGCTGGGGCCCCAGCTATGCATTGTCTCCAGGGCCAATTTTTAACAGGGGCGATCTTGAAAACATGGATGTCCCAGAAAATACAGAAGTTACAAAATGGCCAAAAGTGGTTAAGGGCGGTTATGTGCCATGTGCCGGGAATGAGAAAAGTGTGGTTAAATTACTGCTAGGGCGGAAAGCCTAGTAGGTGTTCACGGCGCAGGTGGAGAAAGATTTCTCATGCAGAGATGAAGATATAAAAGTGAAAAAGTTTATTTTATCTTCTTAGAAGGATAGAGGGAATGAGAGAGTGAAAAAGGGAGGAGAATGGTGGGGAAAACGGAGCAGGGAGATGGCGTGGCATCCCAGAGAAAGAGAAGGGGGTGCCAGCCCTGAGGCCAAGTGGCCTTCGAATTTTAAGGGGACGAAGAGAGTGTTCCTGTGGAAAAATATTTGCAGATACCTCAAAGAGCTAAAAATAGAAATACCATTCTATCCAGCAATAGCACTATTAGGCATCTACCCAAAAGAGCACAAAACATTCTGCGATAAAGACATCTGCACCCGAATGTTTATGGCAGCACAATTCACTATTGCAAGGATGTGGAAACAACCCAAGTGCCTGTCA